TAAAGAGCAATGATGTCAGTATAGAGATTAAGGTGCACCTGTTCCAGGCCAGGGTCTTCTCAGTTGCTTGCTATGCATCTAAAAGCTGAAAAATAACGAAGGATGACAGAAGCAGCAGCAATCGATGCCTTTGAATTGTGCTGGAGAAGAGTATTGAACATACCATAAACTACCAAGAGAAAAACAGCTCTATTCTGGAGAGGGTAAAACAAGATTATTCCTTGGTAGCCAGGATTTTGACAATCCTTTTCACCTACTTTGGGCATGTTGCCAGAAGGGACTAGTCCTTGGAGAACAACATCAGGCTTGGAAGAGTAGAGGGTCAGCACAGGAGAGGAAGACCCTGTTAGAGATGAATTGACACAGTGACTGTGGCAGTGGGGTCAAGTGTGTCAGAAATGAAGCTGGTTCAGGATAGGGCAATGTTCAGAGTCATTGTCTATAGGGTCACGAAGAGTTAACTTGACATCAACTTGATGGCATATAACAATAAAATGATAAATATATGTCATTGAACTGTACATGTGAAGATTGTTAAAGTGGCAAATGTTTTATGTATTTGCCATAATTTTTAAATATATATGGATTTAAAATTCCGATGACCCAAATATGTTGATACTAGGTCATAAAAGACCAGTCATATTAGGTAGCAAGTTTAGTCAAAAGGGGTAAAACCATTTCAACTCTGATGATAAGAAAAAAGTTTTGAGTGATTTGGGTTATGAAGACCTCTGCTAATAATGTTGGGAAAATTAGTCATACCACTTGTGTTTGAAGGAATTGTTAAAAAAAGCACATAGGAATTCACTTAAGTTTGCAAAACAAGGAAAGTAGTATTTTTTATTTGTTAAACTGAGGGGATTATACCTAAGATGAATAACTAGTTGCCTGTAAATAAGATTTGGATGGATAGAGACAACTACTGACTTATAAGCCAAGTAACAGTCAATGTATAACTGAATATTAGGAGAAAAACAGTCATATTTGGCAAAATGGAAGGATTCAAGACAAATAGGGTAAAATGCTAGCTGTGAAAGATGGAAAAATTCAGAAGTATTTTATTTCTATAAAGTCCCAGTAAAGATAGAATTCTACTTGATTCCAAAATGGTAATGGAGATTCCAGGAAGCCATGTGTTCCTCAGGCAGGAGCAGGGCCCACCATCCTTCTACCCATAAAACCAATGATTTGGATGGGATTCTGGGAAGGAAAGCCAGTAAGACAATGGCATCTTTTGTCTTTTGCAGTGTTTTGACATACATGATTAGATAGGGTGTTTATAAAGCCTGAGGCATTTTATGACACAGTATAAATACTCCATCAACTTTGAATTCTGAAAAGCATGTAGAAAAAACATTGTGGGGAGAAAAACCTACAAAACATGGTTGTGGAACTAATACACAACAAAAACTCTGATTAGCCAGAAGAGGATAAGAAAAAACAAAACCACACAATTTGGCTTACTAGAGAAAACTGACTACACAAATACACAACTAAAGTCAATCACAATGTGCTTTCCCAGTAATTTCAAAACTTAAACAAGAACTGTATTAAACTGGGATTATTCCAGAAACGGCATTATTAGTGAGGTCATAGTTTTTATGGTACTTACTTAGCACCAAAATCTGCTAGTTTCTTGTTTATGATTGATAGATTCCTGTCTTAACCGTTTTAACATGTTGAAAAATGTTCTCTTAGTTAAAACATGATATACATTAAAGGAAAAAAATGTTGACATTTAAGTACCATTTGGGTACAAACTGGAAGCCTGTGCATTTACAAAATGTCTTTTTTATTGGTAATAATTAAATAGGAAAATTTATAAAAAGAGTTAAATTTTCAGAAGTTGTCATGGAGATTGCCTTTATTTCTCTTTTCCTGCAGAGTTGCTGGTGGATTTGAACTACCTGCCTTTGTGTTGGCAGCATTAACTCCTTACTCACTACACCACAAGAGCTTCCAAGACAGACATTAGAAATTTATAAATATGAAAAATGTAAAATCACTACATCTCCCTGCTCTGTAGAATGGATCAGGTTTGGGGTTTATGACTTAGAAACCCTACCCATTTCCCTATAAGATGCAATGTGCCATGTATTTGAGCAACCAGTTGTCTTCCTCTTAACTCAGCACATGCCTCCTTTCCTTAAAAACTGTTAAGTTGTATCCAGTTAACCCACCTTCTTCCACACAACTATGGGCTTAGCTAGTCCAAGTTCCCATTCCTTTTCTGGTTTTGAAGAGCCAAATGACACCCTTTGGTCAAGGAAATAGGAAGGGAAGAATGCAGAGTGGCTTCTGGAAAAAGATTGCCAATAATAAAATTCTGAGACACACACAGGGTGATAGTGGTTTCTTCCGCAAGGTGGTGTGTTTTCATGGAACTTCTGGACTCATGCAACCATCTCAATCAGGATATAAGATAGCTGACAGCAAGCTGATGTGCTTAAAGCCAGTCTCATGAGAGATCATTTCCTTGACAACTCAGCTGATTTAGGATTTTCTGATCCTTATGGCTCAAGACATCCTAATTGATATACTATATGGCCAGTGTGAAAAATACTTCTAATCAACTAAAGAGGTCCAACTCAGCTTTGATGTTGGGATTCTGGATGGCACAGCTATGACCACCTGTAATAGTTCCGTTCAAGAAAAAGTGTCCTCAAAGATGACCGACCCCATGGCGAGCTCTGGTGGCCTGGTGGCAAGAAGGTGCAATGCAGTCCCAGAGGTGCATGGTTTAAATCCACCAGATGCTCTGCTGGAGAGGGACAATTTCCTCCTGTATCAGTCAGATCTGAATTGATGGCGCACACACGCGCACGCGCACACACAGTGACTGACCCCATAAACATTGGCTCCATGAACATTTTCATAGGGAACTCTAGACACATGATATTTTATCAAAAGACAATGCAACATAGCTTTAATGTATTTTTATTTCACGCCTGCTACATACAAGGCACTGTGTTTGGCGCCATGAATATACAGATAAGCAAGACATAATTTTTGTCCTTAAGATCACAGTCTAGCATGAGAAATTTGACATGTACACAAATAACTATCATACGAGGCAGAAAGTGATAAATGCCATATCAAATGATTGTGAGAACTCAGAGAAAGAAAACTTGGCTTGTTGAAAAGAGATTAGTGAAGGCTCCTCAGAAGGAAGGGGGGTATTTAAAGTGGTAGGTAAGTGTGAGTAGGAAATTAAGAAGAAATAATCTAGGAAGGTTATAAACAAAGCAGCAGGAAACACTAGCTGTGTCACAGAGGCGGCCAGGGAGTCAAGCTGGACTGGAATAGAGTGGGTAAATGATGCTGGGAAGACATGTGAGGCTCAACGGCATGTTTATTTAACTATGCCAGGCAGAGATGTGTGCACTTCAGTGGAAGGTTCTGAAGAACTTTCTTCTCTTTATAAAAATCTATTCTATAAAGCTCAATCTGGTGGCAGTGAGCTTCATAAAAAGTGAGGCTGAGGGAAGAGGGCCAACTCACAATTGATATCAAGAGTCTGGAATAGATTCCTGAGGTAGTGATAATGCAAATGAAGCAGTTAGGGGGGAAGTGGAGACAGCTTTGAGAAGATACGGTAGTGAGTACAAATGGGAAAATGAAGAAAGACTCATACACAGAGAGGAAAATCAGGAGGAAAAGACTGAGTGTGGGGCGAAAAGAAGGAAGACAGCAAGCCTGAGGTGCTGGCTGACATCCGGGGTGGGTCCAGTGAGAAGTTAAATTGGCAAGGGAATCAGAGCTGGGACTAACTGGGGGGAGGTCAGGTAGAGACAGCACCGTCTCTCCAGGGAAGGGTGGTCCAAGCACAAGCCTACAGTCCCATTTTCCTGAATTACAGAATTCTCACAGAAAGTTTAAGTATGATGATGCATCACATGAAAAGTGCTGTTTCTCTCTGCATGTTCTCCTCCCTTTACTCCTGAGAAACTATTCTTCAGTGTTGTGATGACAAGCAGGAAAGTGCCTCCAGTGTGGAGGGTCATTTTGAAAATATTTACTCCAATGAGAGTTGGTGGTTTGGTTTTTAAGTTTTATTCTCATTTAATTTGAAGATGTTTATGTACTAAAATGATTTTGCTGAAGATTTCAGAAAAGTCATTGATTTGACGTATCCTACTTTACCTAGGCTAAGAGCTGAGAGAGACCTGGGAGGACATAGACTCCATATACTCCCAATGCACGGGTCAGAGAGGCCACGGGATGTATCCCGCATCTTCTACCATAGTGATGGCAAAGTTGGCCCCATGAGCAAGAGCAGTGTGCTTTCCCACAGCTACATCCCCAGGTACCTAGCTGCCTTCTAAATGGTAAAGAAGATAATTTTAGGCAAAAATGGCTGGGAATTATAGCTGTGTTTTAACTTCCCCCTCCCCAGAGCAAGGAATAGGAGAAAAGACTTTCTGATAGGCATTTTTGGGGGACCCATCAATGCCTTATAGATCTGAAAGGAAATTACTCTGGCTTTCTTGACACATCAAACTGCATCTAGATGAAAAAATATTAGACTGTTTTACTACATAGCACATTCAGTAAGCTCTATAATCAGCAGCAAGAGAAATGATGGTCCTTTGTTGGCATGTGCATATACAAAAAGGCAGTTTGCAGGAAAACAAGATCGATAAGAACCAGACTTTAGATTGTTTTTATCCAACAACAAAAGCAAAGTATCCCTAGTAATTCCCTTTTGGAAAGTTAAGTGAGATCTCCTTAAAATGAAGTTCGAAACACATCCATTTAAACAGGAGATGGAGGATAAAAGACAATTGATTACATTGTAAGCATATAAGTTGCAGACACAGAGCAGAGTTCCCATGGGCCACGTCACAGTAAACCAACTTCAGTGTATATCATGGCAAACCAACTAGATACATCAGCATCTTCCCTGTATCCTGGAAATACACCTCACATTAACTTTAGAATGAACAGTTCCCTTTAATAAAGGCTGTCTCAATACTCCCTCTGCCAGTTAGCAGGAACAATTAGATTTTCAAAAAAACCTTCTTTTTATAGAGAATGTAGGCAATGAACACCCAGAGGGCAGTGGCGACGATGTTTTGAATCAGATGCTCTCTGTGTGACTGGTTATCGTCCAGCTTCCACTGAAATGGGAAGTAGTTCCTGAACACCTCATGGCCGATGTACACCAGGATAGAATTCATTCCTGACCAAGAGAAAGACAATGTTGTCCTGAGTCACATCTGGTCAGCTAGTCTTTTTTACATTTTGGTAAAAATCATGACATTAATTTATCACATGGCAAGACTAATAGCACTATTTGTTTCTAAATGTTTCTATCAGCCTGAGTGGAAACTCTTACCCCATAAGCAATGGCACTTCCTTTTCCCTATCCCTCCTACCTCTGTTAAACCTTCATTAATTTGGTCTCTATTTGCCTAGTCTAAATTTTTCATGTAAGTGGGATCACACAATATTTGCCATTTTGGGACTAATTTATTTCACTCAAATGTTTTCACAGTTCATCCATGCATGGATCAGAGAACTTCATTTCCTTTTATGGTTGAGTACCATTCCATTTCATATACATATCTATTATTGGAAGGAGGAGTGGCATCCACTTCCATAACAGCTTGCCTCTGGAAACCCTATGAACCTGAAGAGAGGATGAAAGGCACCCAAGCGTCAAGGACTCTCCTTCATAGGGTCGCTATGAGTCGCCTGCGACTCGACGGCACTTAACAACAACAACATATATTATATACAGACACACCACTCTATGTTTATACATCCATCTGCTGATGGACATTTAGACTATCTGCCCTTTAGGATGATGTACTAGTTATCTTTTGAGTCTCTGCTTTCAGGTCTCTCAGGTATACAATTAGTGTGGAATTGCTAGATTATACAGTTAATTCAGTGTTCCACTTGTTGAAGAGCTGCCGAGCTGTGTTCCAAGGAGGTTGTACCATTTTGAACTGACTGCCAACAAGTCACTTCAGACTCATAGTCCATCAGGTTGCCGAGGCTGTAAATCTTACAGGAGGAGAATGCCTGTCACAGGAGGAGGCTGCCACTCGTGGATTCAAATCACTGACCTTTCTGTCAGCAACATAACACACAGTATGCTGGGCCACCAGGGCTCCTTACCAGCAACGCAGAGGGTTCCAATTTCTTCCCATCCTATTACTTCTAGTTTTCCACTTGTTTATTTGGTGGTTGCTTTTTTTATTTGTTTGTTTTAATCAAAGCAATTCGAGTGGGAGGGAACTAGTATCTCACTGTAGGTTTGATTTGCATTTCCCTAATTACTAATGGGAGCTTCCAGTGGCTTAGTGGTAAAGAGTTGTACTGCCACCCCAAAGGCATGTGATTCCAGTCTAGTGGCTGCTCAGCAGAAGAAAGATGGGCAGTCTCCTGCTGTGCTATTTACTGTCTCTGAAAACCTGCTGGAGGGTCAGCTGTGCATCAGTTTCAATTTGACAACAATAAATTGGTGGTGATGATGGTGTTGTGCACTGCTGAGTCAGAACCGACCCATAGCTGACCCTTTGGCAGATTTTCAGAGGCAGTTAATCGCAGGGAAGAGACTGCCCATCCGTCTCCTGCAGAGCAGTGGGGGGATTTGAACTGTGTGCCTTCGAGACTGGAGTGCAATTCTTACTACGAGGCCACTAGAACCCCAACTACTTATGAAACAACAATTACTAATGAAAATGTAATTCTTGAAATCTATTTCTTTGAAAAAGCTTCAAGTGCACACATACTACTGACTACCAGACCCTGGTGTGCAGTATGGCAGGCTGCTAACCTAAGATGTCAGCAGTTCGAACTCAGCAGCAGCCCAGTGGGAGGAAGAGTACTGTTTCCTCCCATCAACATACAGCCCTGGAAACCTAAAGTAGGGTTGCTATGTCTTAGAATCAACTTGAAAGCAGTGGGAAGTTTAGGGGTATTAAGAAGCATAAGTATAAATGATATTTCAAAACTACTAGAAAATGTTTACTAACAATGTAGTTTACATTGTTATATACTCAAAGAAAAGCTAAAATTGTTAACACATCTTTTCTAGACAGAAAACTAGAGGTCCAAAGAACCTAACTATTACAAGAATCAAGGGTCTTTGAAATAACTTGGTTTTCCCCTCAGTCATCAGGTAGAATTATATCGAAATCATTTCTTCTATTTCTTGATACCAATTTATTATAATGAGTAATCTTTAAGGAAGTGCATTATCTTAAGGAAGAAGTGTGGGACCTTAGGAATTAGAACCTAGAGACAATACCGTGGATTTTTTCTGATAACCTATAATTTAATATTGCCTTAATTAAAATTTAATTAGCTGGAGCTCAAATTTGTCATACAACAAATCCACTTAAATGAGTGAAAATGGGGTGAGCTGCTTCCCAACAGGTCAAGGGACATCCTATGCATCCTGATAGATGTGGCCCCTGCTGTGTTTTTCAAGCTCAGTCTGGCCCTACAAACATGCCACCAGGGTAGCAGCTTCAGGCCCCAGCACTGAACACGGTCAGTCAGTCGAACTCTGAGCAAGATGTCTGTGGATGACCATCAGGGACCCTCTTCAAAGTTAGTGGTAACTTACCTGGATAAAAGAAGGGGGTTCCTGTCCACAGTCCCCTCACATCCACAATGGGATAAAGAACCAGCAGGATGAAGAAAGCAAAAGAGCTCAGTGTCGTGACATATGAAATGGACCTGAAAGAGTGGAATGGGGTGTCACTCTTCTGAGGAATACAACCAATATCAACAATCAGAATGAAGGTGACACTTTTTTCTCTACCTACCAGAGATTTTTATTTACTGGAATAAAGCCTTCATTTTCAGAAGCTTTTGTCAATGCAACGGAAATAAGTCCCTAAAATAGGAGGGAAAGATGTACAAGATTTATATCTATAGCCTCTCAAAAAAAACAAAACAAAACCCATAACAAAAAACAAAAACAAAAACCATTGTGTTTCAAGAGCAAAATGAGTTACTATGATTTATTTAAGTTGCTTAGGGAACACTAAAAATTGTGTCCTATATTTCATGTTTTTAAACTGGACAAGTTTTTTAAGATGTATATTTTAAAATAGTAATTATTTAATATATTCAGTATTAAAAATGTGTATTTTAAATATCTATGTATTAATATAGCATTAAAATACATACACCTATAGTATTAAAATATGTATTTATATACACATAGCATTCCTGTGAGGTGAGGAAGGTACATTAATTGATAATTTACAGTGACTCTGGAAGGGAAATATAACTACATGGGAAAATCGTTGGTCAGTGTTACAAACTCTTACAACATGTAAAGCTAGAACTTGACAGTTAAACACCTCTTATCATTTACATACTCATTCTAATATGACTCTCTACACAGAATCCAAACCACAGCTCAGTTCCACCTTCACGAATTCTTCACTGTTTTATAACATTGTCTTCTTTATGAAGACATTCTCCTAAGAAAATAAATCTAAGCATTTATGTGCAAAGAGTCCTCCTGTCCTTTAAATAAAGCTTACTTCTTTGGATGTGTTAATTGCTATACAAACGTTGCTCTACATTTTATTTCTTCTTATATATGGGAAGAAAAGGAACTTTTAATAAGGAATATTTGTTACTTACTAGAATACAACACCAGGCAGTGAATCGAATCAGGATGGCTTTGGTCTCATCCTTATAATATAATAGTATTTTTCCTGCCTGGAATGGAAAACATAGTGTAACCAAAAGAACTGCCTTAAATATATTCTTCTTTCATATTCACCCATTGTCTTACTCAGCAAACATTCATTTGCCAGCACACTACTAGATACTGTGATTACAAAGGTAAACTGAATATTATCCCCGCCCTTGATGAGAGGAGAGCTGAAGCCACAGCAGCACAGACAAGAAGCTTGTCTCAAGAAAGGAGAAGACACCACAGAGGAGGTAGCCTGGAGGCCATGTACAGAGAGGCAGGTCTCAGATGGCCAAAGCAGAGAAGACAACTCCAGACAGAATGGAATTCCAGAGAGCTTGTAAAAAAAGTGTGAAAAAGCAACAGCTGCTTTGAGTTGGAATTGACAGCAGTGGGGGGGTTTTTGTTGTCTGTTTGCTTGTTTACAATGAAATATGGGAAAGTTAACAGGTAGATGCTGTATGTTTCACTAAGAAGCATGAGCTTTTCCCCATAAGCATTGGATATCTAAGGAAAACTACCACAAGAAAGTGATAAGGGACCAGCTCAGACAGGCTCGGTAGGTGGGCCAATCTACAGCAGTGTGGCAAGGACAGGGCGGGAGTGGAGGTAAGAAACATTTTAAAACTGGTAGTAAAATAAACAAACAAATAAATAAATAAATAAAAACAACTAGTAGTATCTGGCCTTTCCATAATAATCTCTTCAAAATTAGGAATCAGTCTCTGAAACATCAAATAAGTCAGTGTCAACAACAACTGGTAATAAACCTTAAGTTTCAGTGTTTTCTATGTGCTAATTCTTAGACCTTTGCATGAATTAGCTGATTTAATCTTCACAGAATTTGAGGTGCTTCTGAAGCACAAAGAGGCTAATATGCCCAAAAGAGGTGATATGCCCCAGGTTACCCAGCTAGGAAGGGGCAGAGGTAAGAGTCAAGCAGGCTGGTTCTGGGTTTGTATTTTCAACCCCTATGCTACATTGCTCAATTGGTACAGAATCAGGAAGACATAATCTATGAAGTGAAAATGTAACAAGGACACTATGGAGTGCAACAAGGGTAAAGGCAGTGTTTCTAAGTATAAAATTATTTAAGTACAGGGGACATCTGGTGGTAAGGCACTGTGATGCCAATGCAAAGGCACATGGTTTGAACCCACCAGCTGCTCTGAAGGGGAAAGATGGACAGTCTCCTCCTGTCCAACTGATAGTCTCTGAAAATCTGCTGGAGGGTCAGCTACGAGTCAGCTTCAACTCAACAGCACACAACAACAACAATCTAAATGTATATTCCTTTAGTCTGTATTTACACAAATCGGAATGCCTGATATTTTACTGATGTATGGTTATCATATTGGGTCATGTCAGTCTAAATGTATATGCATGATTCAAGACAACTACTTACCTTTTTAAAAAATTACAGATTCTTTCTATAGAAAAATTCTGATAAAAAGACATAAAATAAAGGATGGATATTCAAATTCTCAAAGAATCAAGACTTTCTGGAAAAAAAAAAGACTTTCTGGAGTCACTGAGGCTGTATAAACCCTGAAACTACTGGCCTGAGATCTTCTTTAAACCAAAAATATCCCTTCATGTCTTCCTCAAAGCAAACAATAGTTTCACTTAACCAGTGAAGAAGTCTACCTTGAGCCAGTAGGCTCTTTTGAGATCTATCTATGAAGTATCAAAGGGACAGCAGCAGCTCAAAAGGTTAAATGAGAAACGGATGGGGCAGTGAGTTCATGATAATGACAGAAAAGCAACTCAGGAAGGCTGGGAAGGGCGGTATAACTTCAAAAATGTGATCGATGTGACTGAACTTCACATGGAAAAGAAACTGACTAGAGTACCTTCTGCAGTGTATAATATCAACAACAAGGTAAAAGTGAGGACCTCTGCTGCATGAGGCAAATGCCAAGTGCTCAGTAGCCACATGTGCACAGTGATTATTACCATACACAAGAAAACGTATTCCCATCACCACAGAAATGATTAGTGCTATTTTGCACTCTTCTCTCCTACCTGTCAGCTCAACAGTCAGTCAATAGTTTCAAACACTGAGAAGGAAAATTTTAGGGGGAAAAAATTTTAAACTATTCAGAATTCAAACACAGGTGAGACAGTAGAAGATGCTGCATGTTGTGTGGAGAAATGTGAAGTAAAACTCAAAATCATAATAAAGGCCAGGCTTACTGGTCTGATAGAGATTGGTGGAACTTTGGAGACTACTACACTTGGTCACCCTTCAAAAGTGGAACCAAACTTATCCCAGGCTTGATTTTTGGCCCAATAGGAGACAGGCCTAGAAAGTGACCCAGAGCACCAGGGAGGCACGCGTTCTTAAGAATAATCACCATGTGAGGTCAAGGGGCAACACCCCCCAGGTATAAAACCCAGAAGGCAGGAAGGAGGAGGACTAATGAATGAGAATGACAGGGAGGAAAAGAGAAACATCATATTTTTATGGATATTATCATTCATTTTCCCCCTGGTTTCTTAATATTTTTATTATCCATTTTATAATTAATTTTAAAAATCAAAATCAGCATGAATGGCTGAATGAAAAATCAATTTGCTTGGTAAACCTTAGGTCACACACCCAAAATAATGTCATGTGAAATTTATCAAGAATAACTAGAGCCTGTATTGACCTTGGCATGTTGTGTCCCAGTCATGCAAACATGTATGAAAGAAATGTGACAAGGCACATGGTGGTACTTACACTCTAGCAGAAAAGCCTTTTATCCAGAAAAAAAAAAATGTTACGCATCCATACTAAGATAAGTATCATTATCCTCAAACAGGAAATAACTCATAGCTGATCCTCCAGCAGGGTTTCTAAGGCTATACGTGGCAAAAAAGAAGACGGTCCATCTTTTTCTCTGGTGGTTTTGAACTGCCAGACAGGTTCTGGCCTTTGAGTTAACAGTGCTGCTCCTTATGGACTATTCTTCTGAGAATATAGTTATTCTGAAAGGGCAGAATTTCAGCCCTTATAATTTAGCACAATCTGAAGACTGAGTATTTAGGAGGGATACAGCCCAGTGGTTAAGAAGTTGCACAGCCAACGGAAAAGAAGGTAGTTCAAATCCACTAGCTGCTTCTCAGGAGAAAAATAAGTAAACTCTTCCCATGTGATTTATGGTCTCTGAAAATGCACTGAGAGTCAACTATTGAGTTGGTTCCAACTCAATGGCAACAAGCTGTCTGTTGTTCATACCAGGGGAAAGGATATGCTTGCTTATTTTAATGACATTGTTTTGAGATTAGTGATGAATCAACCACCAAAAATTTCCAGGAAAAGTGAAATTAAGAAACACCTGAACTCCCTCCCAAAGGTAATAAAGGAGGTCAGAATTGCTTCCACTGTAGGAAGCTGGGCCACTTCAGTAGACAATGTCACAGACGAGAGCCACAGATAGGCAAGGGAGTAGAAAGGAAGCTCCCAATCACTTGCTTTAAATGTGGATCTGAAGGACACTTGGCCAAGGGTGGCCCACATCAGGTCCTCGTGGCTGACAGGACTGACAGGCCCCAGCTCCAAGCTGGAAACAAAGGAGGATGCTTCAACAATTCAGATCCTCCCAGAAAAGCTGTGGGTGAGCATTAACATTACTGGTAAGTATATTCATTTTCTCCTGGACACAAGAGCCTATTATTTGGTCCTAAAAGCCTTCTGCAGTCCCAACTCTTCTCACTATTTCTTAGTTGTTAGAATGGACAGAAAACCTCATAAGCAGTTCCTTACTTCACCTCTGCCTTGCATGTGGACTTCTGATCTGTAAAACAACCCAATGGTAGACAGAATTTGGTCCAGGACTAAAGAACAATAATTGACATAGTTTAGCCTCTACATCTTGTGGTTCCTAACCTTTATACTATAATAGACAAAGTGCTAGTCAATAGGCCTTTTTTTTTAAGAACTACCTTCCCTTTGTAACTTGATTTGTGCCACTATTAGAACCTCTACTTGGAATATTATTGCTTTTAATTTTTGACTCATGTACTTTTAACTTGTTAGTTAAATTTGTGTCTTCTAGGCTGCAACAGTTCCATGATGCATCTTCAAGGATATGAACATGTATGGCTAAGGACAATTGATAATAGTGCATCTAAATTCCAAAAATCAGTTTCCACAATAGTCTACACGTTTCCTGTTGCCAAAGAGGCACTTTAGACTAGTGAGAGAAGATCTTCACCCTGAAACCTATAGCGTCCCTTTCCAGCAGGAAGTAGCTAAGAGAATATGCCATCCCCTTTTCCTTATGAATCAGAATGAAATCTCACTCAGGAAGGAGTGATAGGGAATGGCAAAGGACACAATGAGATTAATCAGAACTGGTTTTGACAAGCACTGTGGCAATGGAACAATTAAACCAGACTTTCAAGGAATATTCAACCTGAGGGGGGGAAAAAAAGAAACACCTGAACTCCTAAGAATGCTATCACAATGGAATTGATGGTTCCCAGGATTCCTTCCGGATCATAGACCACCTGGGTGTGGTACAGCACCTGCCGGAAATAACAAGCAGACAAATTAACTTTCTATGGAAAAGCTGCACACAAACAATTCACTTTTCCCAGGAGACAATACACACACATACGTAACACACACACGAGCATGAATGCATTCCAATAGCCCATGTTTTGTGGTCTTTCTACAGAAATTCATTTCCAACTTATATGAGTCAAAAGCAAAATAGTTCTAGCCAAGATAGTGTGGTCTGTGATCCTTCAGTAGGAAATGCAAAGCCCCAGTGGAGGCAAGTTCCAGCAGCTGCCACTGTAACTTCAGCTGCTCAAGAAACAACGCCGGGACCCTGTTCAACAGCACCAGGCATATCTAATCTATTCAATATACATAATGCCTTCATTCTCGTGTCCAGACTCATTCTTTTTAGCCAGTCATGTTATAATCTGTACAAAGTTCCTATAGTCTTTTAAGGCAAATAATAACATTTTAAATTATGTATGGCTCACTATAATATATTCATGGTAGCAGAGTAAGTCCAAGAAACACAGGGATAAAGCTTGCACAGTATTAATGTCACATAGTCTTATAAGTAAAATTTGTTGCTTTGGTAAATGTTTCCGTGTATATAGTTTCATCATAATAAAAAAATATAATGTTTAAAATTTAAAAATCAAATGCATTTTTTTTCTTCTAAAATGAATGTAATTATAAAAATTTGGAAATACAGAGACTCTGGAAATACATAGGCACTGAAGTGAGAACCCAAACTCCTATTTTCAGGACTAAAGCATTCATACCCTCAGCTGCTAGAATTAGCACTCAGAAGCTATCAGCCTAGTCTACTTTCTGGGTTTGTCTTTGAACTAACTGTCTTATTAGAGGCATGATGTTAGGGGTTTACTGTTCAAATGGCTTCCCTAGCCATTAACTAAGACTTTGCCATGTGGATCAACAGGAATATGTGAATGGGTGTGTGTTAATCTAGCCACAAAAGGACTGGTTAATCTAGTCACTAAATTGAGCAGATCTGGGGGCAAATTTTTGAGACTCTCACTACCAGCAAAGAGGCAGCAGAGATTGTTGTGTGCCTTTCGGGTCCATAGATTCTCGTGCCAACCAGACATACAGGAGAGCAGCAGTTGCTGCAGCCTCAGCAGAGACCCCGAGACCCAGTGCTGCCCTTGGGATTGCTCCCCTATGGAATTAGAGCTAGGAGCTTCCACTTAAGCTTGCTAGAGGCCTGGGAGAAGAGCCACAATTGCCAGAACTAAGACCTTTGTTAACATTCACGTAAAGCAGCAAGGGTGAAGTGCCTATGATCACATTTTGGAAACTATCCTGATTAAGTGATTTTATCTTGCTGTCAACCTGAATTAAAGCCTTTTGACTTCTCTAATATGGCTCTGTGTGGTCTGTGAGCTATTGCAACAGATTGTGGACCCAGCAAAGCAGTAAAATTGGTGTTGGCATGAGTAGAATGAGGTGCGAAAGGTGGCAGACATGCCTGACCTCAAAGGAACCAGTTTTGTGCTGTGGATGATGATGAAAGGGGTAGTTCCCCCTTGTGGAATGGGCAGATGTCAGATACGGCCCTTGCTTCTTTAACAAGAGGCCATGCCCCTTTGTTAGCAGCAGTCTACATTCAATCTGGGATATGAAAGGGATATGATATTTTTGAAGTAGGGATTCAAAAAGGGATATGAGGGGACAGTCCACTTCCAGGATGCCCCATGGGTTAGGAGATCCTTATTCACGGTTCAGTCGGCCCGAGTCACACTCCACTGCATATTTTATACAATGTACTGTCATTTTAAAATCCAGAGCAATGTTTACATTGCACCATGTACTGCACAGTAAAGTCAGTCAACCTTTAAAATTAGAAGTCCCCATAATATTTTCTTAAGGAATCCCTTGCCATGGTCACGTGCTCATCTGCTAACCAAAAAGTTAGTAGTTCAAACCCACCAGCTGCTCCACAGGAGAAAGATGAAGCCATCTGCTTCCATAAAGATTACAGTATTGGAAACCAATGAGGCAGTTCTAGAGCATCTTAGAGAATTTTCTATGAGTCAGAATCAACAATGGCACTGGATTTGATTTGATTGTTTAGGAGATGCAACATGGGAACTACTAACTGAAAGGTTGGCAGTTCACACTTGCCCAGAGGTGGAAAAACCTGCAATCTGCTTCTGAAAAATCAGAAAATGCTACAGGGTCTTGAAAATCCTCTCAAGCAAAGTTTTACTATATACATATGGGGTTGCTATAAGTAGAAATTGATTAGACAGTAACGGAATTTTGGAGGGGTTGTAGTTTACAAACTGGACACCATTTTAAGTCAGCCAGCAACATTTTCCTTTACTTCAAAGGTCCAAAGTGTCAAAATCCAGTCTCACTCACAGCAGAAGAAGGGTGCTGGTAAAGGTGATCATCTCCCAGAAGCACACGGTCAATGTAGCCAGCCGCTCCTCCTGTACAATTTGGATACTTCCCAAAATCTCCAATGCCACCAGGGCCGAGGTAACCACTGAGAAAGTGAAACACAGGTATTTACTTAACAAGACTTCATAAAGGGGGAGGGGGGGCGGGCGGGAGAGAGAGATAGTAGCTCATTACACAACCCAGTACAGAGCTCAGATCTGGGTAATCCTAATAACCTCCTCTGGCCCCATGTACTCTGACCAACACTCTCTGACTTGACTGCTTCCCACAGTCTTAGGTAAGAAGCTCAGTTTCTAATCATACTGATATCTTCTTTTTAATTTTTTTATTAATTATAATGAAATTTTACAGAGACTCTGGATTTCCATTCATTCATTGTTGCACTTTTCTCCCTGCCCAACCCTCCCCTCCTTCTTCTTTGAAAAGTAAAAAAAAAAATTATTTCATTGTTATACAATCCCTCCCCCCCATGTGCACTCCACTGTGCAGCATTCATTCTGGACTCCTGTCATGACAATAATACCTAATCATATATCCCTTTTAATCAATTCTTCCCTTATCTGTTTAAATGCAGTAGATATAATTTATCCCATCTCTTTCAGTCTCCCCCCAACCCCAATGTCAGTCTCGTTTTACATAGTGGCACTATGCAGTATTTGTCCTTTTGTGACTGAGATATTTCACTCAGCATAATGTCCTCCAGGATCAGCCATTTTGTATAATATTTCATGAGTTTCTTGTTTTTCAATGCTGCATAGTATTCCATTGTATGAATATACCAGAACTTCTCTATCCATTCACTTGTTGATGGGCACTTGGGTTGTTTACAACTCTTTGCTATTGCCACAATAAACATGGGTGTGATACTGATATTTTCAAAGACACACACACACACACACACACACACACACCCCAAAAACAAAACCCTCATGGACACATTTCTCCTGACACACATCAAACTTTTCTACCAAGCCAGAGTACACTTCAGCAGAGAGATGAAATGAAAGAGAATTCTTCTGACTGAGGAACCTGAAAGCTCTAAGCCCAGAAACTCTAATGTGGCAGGAAATGATGGGTAAAAAGGGATAGCCTATACAGAGAGCGTGCCCTATGGTGTGACAAAGGGCCTCTCTGGATAGAGGTGGACAGATATGAGAGACATCAGACCTCAGAATCAACATTACTAGCAACAGAAAGAAAAGAGCATCCAAGAGAAAAATCCAGGTTTCTGGTTTGGGCATACGGCTGATGTCACGCACTCTGCGATAAGACATAATAGAAATGGACAACTTGCAGCAAAACAGTCAATAGACATTAATTTCTCCTCAGATTCCACACCCCTGCCTACCATGCACCATCAGCTGGAGGGGAGGGGGGGTGCAAGGGGCCTACAGGCAGAGCTAGAAGAATGGTCTTATCCATGATGGGATGTCCTGGGAAAGCACACGCTGTGACATCAATTTAAGAACAAAGGTGCACTGTGTGACCAGCACAGCCAGAGCAGAAGGAAGGGGCCCATCTTCTTGCTGAGGGGGGTTCTTGGGCTGCCAAAGATCTCAGAGTCTACAGGACTGTGGCCCATCTATGGAGTTACGAGTTGCTGAATTGTGTCTCCCAAGAAAGATACAAGTTGAGTTCTAGCCATGGTTCCTGTAAATGTGATTTTATTTGGAAATAGGGTGTGTAAGACATAATTAGTAAACATAACAACAACAACATGGGACTACTAGAGTAGGGTAAACTACATACAACATTACCAGTACCCTTAAAAAAAAGAAAAGAGAACACAGCAACAGACAGAGGCAGAGGGAAGACAGTCACGCACAGATGGAGGTGGAGACTGAAATATGTTGTCACAAGCTGAGGAATACCTGGAGTTCTCGGAAGCTGGACAAACAGAAAGGGTGCTCTCCTAGAGCCTTTCCTGAATGTAGACTTGGAGCCTCTAAAATGGGAGGCAATCAGTCTCCACTGTTTCAGTTTCTACTCCCCCTCACTCCAACCCTCATTTGTCAAAAATGAGGATTAACACAGAAGAGTGAACTTACGTAGGGCATCCAGGCACTGGTAAGAAGAATGTCAAGCTGAGCCAGATGCTTTCCAGCATCAGAATAAAGAGCCACTGTGGCCAGCTGGGTATGATGTCCCGAAGGGAAGAACAGCTTCTTTCCTAAGTCGGATGCAGAAAAGAATCAACAGGCTATAAATGCAAAAAGAAACGGAACTAGTACACAATGTATTTTTAAAATTCTCTGAAATTATATTCTTCGCCCTTATAGTAATGATATTCCTATTTAAGATGTATTATGGTGTCTAGAGGCTCACATTCTATGAAATATTATTGTAAAAACATTGGTAACAATCAATCCCACTCCTAGATAGATAGATAAATAGATCCCTAAGAAAATGAAAAACGTTATCTGCTCACTAATCTTTGTACATGAATATTTTTAATAGCATGGCTAATAATCACAAATATTATTAGCAATATCAACTGAAGAATAGATAAACATAAATTGAATATATTCATACAATTAAATATTACCATCAATAAACAGGTATAAAGGAAGGATTAATACACGCTTTAGCATAGATGTTCTAGTGGCCTAGTGGTTAAAGTGTTGTGCTGCCAACCCAAAGGCAAGAAGTTCAAATCCTCAGTGGATTCTCAGGACAAAGATAGGTAATCTCTGTCCATATGATTTATTGACTCTGAAAAACCTTGAGAAGAGTCAGTTATGAGTTGGCTCCCACTAACCAGCACATAACAACAGTATAGATGAATCATTATGCTAAATGAAGGAAGTCAAGACCAAAAAAAAGCCTTTATATAACATATGGTTCCATTTCTATAAAATGTCCAAAATAGTCATTAATTATTAATGTATTAATCTACATGAATAGAAATTAGATTGCCTAGGACTGGAGTGGAGAAGGGTGAGGGGCAACAGGAAATTACGGGTGTTTTTTTTTCTTTTTATTGTCGTTATCGTTGACTTGCACTCCACTCATAGCTGACCTTCCAGCAGGTTTTTCAGAGGCAGTAAGTCACACAGGAGATTGCCTATCCTCCTCCCACGGAGCAGCTGGTGAATTTGAATCATGTGCCTTAAGGGTTGGAAGCACAGCTCCTTACCACTAAGCCACCAGGGCTCTTTTTAGGATTTCTTTTTAGGGTTATGAAAATGATCTGGAATTATAGTGTGGCTGAATGACACTGAATGTACTAAATGCACCTGAAATACATACTTTTAAAAGTGGATTTTATGATGTGTGAATTATATCTCTATAAAATATATCAAAAGAAGTTAATCTGTTTACATTTTTTAAATTAGCTAAATTTCTGAAGCCTTTTTAGTTGAAGGAAGAAAGAGCGTCAGTTCTTGTTATTCCACTTCTGCCTGCCATCCAGTCAATCAGGGCCCCTCAGAAGAGTCTCCATAAAGCACTTCAGTCCCACAGAAGGACTGGAAGCTACTGTTATGATATTTATGGTTAACCAAGATCCACATGCTCTTGTTACTGTCTAGTATCCACCTCACCTCAAGGAAAACCTGCAGCCAATGGCTAAACTGATGAGGGAAAGCTGAGAACGTCAAGTAAAAACCACTAAAAACCACCCCAAAATTATCACAACCAGCAGTCATTAGAGGGAGAGACAAGATCACTTTAAAATCAGTGATAACTTTGTTAGCTACATATAATGAAGAAAGCTAGAAAACAAAGCTGTATTAACCTATTAAATAGGATCACAAATGGAAGAACTTAAATGCCTCCACTGGAGTTCTGATTTCTAGTGGGTGGAAGAAATGGCTGTCACTGAAATAAACTCAAGTGTGGAATTTTTAGTCAGAAAATAATCACAGAAGAGGTGAGATTTTTCACATATTACTATAAAGAATAAATGAAAAGTGGTCAAGGACAATATTGTCATCTCTCATACCCCACTTTGACATTATTTTTTCAAAGACGAATTTTACAAGAGTTGGGTATATTCTGAAATGCTATGCAAGGCCGGTTTGTTTTAAATTTACAAGTCCTAAAATGCTAAATTCACAATCTATATGATGGTTATACTATTCAAGGTCATCAAGAGCACCTGATTAGCAGAGTTAAAGAATGTCGTAGGGTATCAGATTAATAACTAATAAAATTCTAAAAACTGTATCATTCATAAAAATTATAAAGCAATTAATTTTGCTAAGACCTAACATATAATTATGGTATGTTGTTGTTATTGTTATTGTTGACTGTCTTCGAGTCAAACACGACCCATGGTGACCCTATGAACAAAAGGCCTGAAGTCCCTCTACAACTACCAACATTTATCAAAGTTCATAGATTTTCCTGAGGCACGTTGTTTAGGAAGTGGGTGCCACTCCTGCTTCCAAAATTATGGTATAAGAGCTAAAAAGTTAAGGGAAGATTTTCACACAGACTCAATCTTGAAGGATTAACAGAAATGAGAAGGGAAGGAGAAAAGAATAACAATTAACAAAAAGACAAATTGATTGACACCTAAAAAAAAAAAGCCTGAGTGCTGTGAAGTAGGCTCAGCGCTGCCCCTCCATGGGGCTTTCAGAGGCTGTAAATCACACAGGAGGAGTCTGCCCATCTTCCTCCTGCCGATCTGCGGGTGGAGGTGAACCCCAGGGAGCCGCCACTTCTGGGTTAGCCGCACAGTCCCCTGCAGGCCACACCACCAGAGCCCCCACTTGGTGGAAGGGAAAGACAACAGACCCTAAGAATTTGACTATACACTGTAATTAATGACATTCTTATCATCTAAATTTTAACTAATCACTGTGGATGATTGAGTGAAGACATACATGATCTATAAACTCGAAAAGGGGGGTTTCTCACCAAGGCACAGGTTTCAGGCTTAGCAAAGAGGAGCTCGACCACGGCGACGACGAAGTAAGTCACCCCCAGCCGCTGCAGCACGCCAGGGATCCGCACCTTCTCCCACGACACTGCAGAGAACCACCAAGCCAAGCGTCAGCCAGCACTGCTCAGCGCACCCCAAAGCAAAGGTTATTTTGTTTCATCAAGGGGGAAACATAACTATTACTGCTAACCAATTCTGCTTTAAGCCTTCAGAAACATAAATATATGACAGGGCTCAAACACAAGTGCTAAGAGCAGACCAGTTCCACTCAGGAGGATGGTCAGGGACATAGCGAACATCATCGGAGGCTGGCTGGGGACAGCTAAGGATAACGGAGTCTGACTTGGGGGTGAGGATAAAGTTGGGACTACCCACAGCCCTGAAGTCCATCTCCTGGCCCTTCCCACTGGGAACTCAGAATCAACTCCTGTCCACCAGGAGTGCAGTGGTGACGGCACAACCAAGAGAGGCCACTAACTGCCTGTCTCTCCAACAGGTGACAAGACAGTGTCAGTGACAGGAGTAACCCCTGACACGCTAGTCAAGTCAGTTTTGACTCCCAGGGAGCCTACTGACCATGACAGAGCCACCCCATAGGATTCTGCGGTTATAAATCTTCACGGAACCAGATGACTTCGTCTTTCCCCAAAGAGCAGTCAGTGGGTTCAAACAGCAAGCTTTTTATTGCCAGTCAATGCTTAACCCACTGCACCGCCAAGGGGCCTGAACAGATTCCACAACACATTAATTCTACAGAGTCATGGATCCCTGTCTGGAGCAACTTTTACGTGCTAACTTCCCTTATGCCCAACCAGAAGTGACCTCTACCCCCTCCTCATGCCTCACCCTGCAGGACAAGAGCTCACTGCTGTGTGATTTGGTTAAACTTGTGTGGACAGTCACCACAGCCTTCCTCAGTTCCAACACTTGTTCCAAGCACAGAACCGACAGCCATCCCTGCCTCACTGGACAGCACTAAAGTAGTTAAAAACAACCCTGCTGACACACAGTGTCAACAAAGATGTATGCCTGAACTGCTATTCAACACTGAAAGCTGGTGGAGTCAGGATGGCACAAAGGCAAGTTCTGGGAGCCAGGCGAGCTGCTGTGCTCCACACGACCCTCAGCCTGATCCAGAGAGAGCACTGCAATTTCTCTTAGCCTCAGAAACGTACTCTGGACAAGATGGAGACTTGGTTATTTTTGAAAGTTCCTCCTAGGTCTAAAACTCCCACAAAGATAATAATAACCAAAGTTAACAAAGCACTATATACACTTCTCTTTTTAGTAGGTAACAAAGACAAATTATATATCCTTCTAATTTTAACATATTAGTTTCCATATTCCAACCTAAATGTATAGAAACAGGGGGTGAGTGGAACCCAAACAACTTACGTGGACCAAGGCAGTAATTGGGATTCACAATCACAATTCCTATGCAGATCAGCAGGAGACTCCGCCAGGCAATTTTGCCCAGCAGCTTGAACTTCGAGCATCCGCGCTGCAGTATGGGAGTCATTGACAGAAAAATGGAAGACCCCATGATAAATACAAACCTAAAAAAAAAAAATATCAATATGCAGACTCTGTTGCAACAATGAATGAATTTTTTTTTTTTAAAAAGTGAACTGAGGGAGGAGAAAGGGAGTGGGGGGGGGAAGACGAATCAATGAATGAATGAAAATCTAACTCTTCTGTTAACTTTTGTTAAAATCACAATGAAAGTAAAAAATTTTATTTAAAAAATATGTAAGACTCTGCCAATTGTTTACTCTATACGATCATTATCACTTTACAATATACTCCAGAAATATAACATATTATTTCTTTTTAAAATAGCCAATTGTTGAAATAACATTAGGTTAACAGTGAAAAGAACAATTCGAACATAACTCTGTGAGGTTTGTTTTCATAGTGAATCATTAAGTCCTTTCTTGGGAGGTCTGTAATATTGAGTAGAATGCCAAAGGACTACCCTATAGTTTAGTTTATATAAAAATAATAGATAATGAAGATGTTACAATTCAAATAGTTTGACATTCATTAGCTTCCCCTTTTCAAAGTCCTTGAGTAAAAAAATAATACGTTCTCAGTAAGTTCTAAATTCATTTTAGCTTCTGGTGGAGGGGAATCCTTCTCACCCCCAACCCCCTCAACCCCATCCCCTGCTCCTATTTGGTCTATATATCCCTTTAGATGAAAGGATGGTGAAACTCCATCTAACACACGTTGGGCAAGTTGTCAGAAGGGCTTGGTCAATGGAAAGAAACATGATGCTGGGAAAGGTAGAGGGTGTCAAAGAAGAAGCCCCTCAGTGAGATGATTGACACAGCGACTACCAGAGTGGCCATGAAGGAGATGATGAGGATGTCCTCAGGACAGGGCAGGTTTCAGACCTGTTGTCCACAGGGGTGCTTTCTTTTACTACTCTAAATTACTTCTTTAAAAACTAATTAACTACTAATTGAGAAGCCCTGGTGGTAGGAGGCAGTTTATATCCACCAGGGAACTCCACAGTAGAAAGACCTAGCAGTCTACTTCTATAAAGATTACAGCCTGGAAAACACTGTGGGACAGTTTTAAAGGCTAACTGCAGAAAGAGGTTCCAGCATCATTTAAAAAAAAATAGGGACAAGATGATGTTAAATGGGGAAATCATTCTCACCATGGAAATACAAGGTCAGCCACCGTCAGTCCTAGAAAACAACACAAAAACAGGTGCTCACAAAAAGGACTGTGGGATAAAATTTACCCTAAATCCAGAAATGACTCCATTTTGTACTGATACGGAAAATAAGCTACAGAGAAAGTTTCAAGGGAAAACATTGAAATAGCACATACACAAACACATGCATGCAGGTTTCTCCTTCAAGGTTCTATAACCAGTCCCGTGTCTGCAGGGTTTCCTACAAATATTACTGGACATCAGACCAAATCAGGAATAGATCAACAAGTGCCTGATCTTCAAGTGCTAAAGGTGGCGCTATTCAAATCTGTGTCTAAACCAATACCCAGGCCAGATTCACAGACATTTTTAACATCACAGACTCTAACCCCAGTTCAGTGGTGCCTCAGTGTGAGTTAGTAATCTTAGCAAACTAAGAATGTTGTGCCTGTACTGAAATGCATATCCAGAATAGGAGGATGATCATTTATGACCAAATTCTTCTATCGTCTGAGGAGTACTAAAGCAGGACCCTTTGAGGTGTCTGGATACTGTGGGGAAACATGACAGATGCACAGTACACTGAAGGAAGAACAAATCTGAGGGGCTAACACAGCCATTTCTTGGCCTTTCTGTGGGGCAGCTCAGTGGCTCAGATGGGCTGCAGAGATTTGTGGAGTGATTCTCTGGCCCTTCAGTTCAATAAATGGACCTTACAGTGTGAAGCCACCTTTAAGAAACACCTTACCGTTCCAGCTTGCATGTTTGAAGTACCAATATTTTCCTCCGCCATAATTAACAAAGACCATGAGTATAAGAGCAATCCTATAAAGCCAACAAAGAGAACACATTCAGGGTTTGCACATGGGACATTAAATGAACAAACTGCAACAGATGCATGCAAGCACACAAGGCCTGCTGTAAAGCCATTCTACTGCACACCAGCAGACACGGGGTGAGATTTATAGACCAAGACACAACCATTCTTCTAATCATTACTATCAGATCCATACACTTCACTAACTTCAAGTGTTGCCAGTATTTAGAAAACCAGGTCTTAAGAAAAATTTAAACTGGCACTAAGGTTTGTAACTTGAAAATAAAACAAAGCATTTCTAATAACTCAATTTGTAATAATTATTTAGGTGTTTCAGGTGAACAAACTGGTAGAAGGCACAAGGACATTACAACGACCAACGGATTCACATCTTGGGTCCTTCTCTAACTCTCTTTTTATATGTAAGACCAAAGGCAAGATATCTGAGCAGTCCCCTGCCTCATTAAAGAAGGGGGAAAGCGCACACACTGCATGTAAGCGACCATTCATGAGAACTTATTACAGCACCGCCCTGCCCGCCCCATCCCCAGTGCACTCAGCAATGTTAGCTCCTGTCGAATCTGTGAAGATTTTTATCTTTTTTCCCCCAAACCATGGTCTTTTTATTTTTTTAACACTTGTTTATTTACAAAATTCAAATACATTGATTTTGAGAACAGATTCTTCCAATTTCCCTCACTCCCCCACCCATCAAATTGTACGACCCTATGATTAATTCCTTCCTCCCCCTGCACATCCTCATCCCTCTGCTTCCACAGTCCCTCTCCCCTCGCCCTGGATCCTCATACTCATTCCACAATAATGGTTTTATATAAAATTTGTCCTTGTGAAAATGAGTTAGTGCACTCGGCACAAGGCTCTCCAGTCCCTGCCAAGTTAGGTAATGATTTACAAAATGATTGTTCCTGTGTGCTGTGTAGTATTCCATTGTGTGAGTGTACCATTATATATTTAATTCTATTTCTCTTCCTTTCTGAATATCATTGCTGCTTTTGGAAGATGAGTATCTTTATCTTCCAAAAGCAGTAATGATATTCAGAAAGGAAGAGAAACAGAATTAAATATATTCTAAATATGCTATGGTTTGGTGCTAATTCTGCACAATGTAGGGAGTGAAGACTTTGGTAGGTTGATGCGGGAAGGGTGGAGACTCTGGAGCCCAACTGCCTGGCATCAATCATATCTAGGTTTTACCATTTGCTACCTGACTGACTTTGGGCAAGTTACTTAACTTTAAGGATTCATTTCTTCACCTGAAGAAGAGACATACTAAAACAGCTACCTAACTGTATTATGGCTTTCTCTGGGTGCTTCAAATGTTTAACATACTTAAGTGCTAACTCAAAACATTAGGGGTTCAAATTCATCCTGAGGCACCAAGGAAGAAAGTTTCGGCAATCTACATCCAAAAAAATCAACCACTAATGACTCTATGGAGTACAACGTCACCATGTCACAAAGAGAGCCTGAATCAATTCCATGGCAACAAGTCTAATTAACTGTATTGTTAAGAGATTAAATAAAGTCAAACAAAGCAGTGCCTGGGCCATAGGGAGACTTAAAAGAATCTTTATCAATTACTAATATTATTACTTTACTTCCCACCAGGAGAACTTACACCCTGATATTTGCACTGGGCAAAGAGGGTTAGAAGTTCTCAGTGGGCAGACATAGAAAAACTGATTCTTAAGAACTTATTTTGAAAAAATAATATCTTATACTTTAGTTTTAGAGTTTGCTCATGGTCTTCATTTCCCTACCAGAGTTAAAACAACTTACTACATGAATCTAAAGGGTGCTCGGGTGGCCTAGTAGTAAGGAGTTTCACTGCCAACTCAAAGGCAGGTGGTTCGGATCCACTAGCTGCTTCATGTGAGAAAGATGGGCAGTCTCCTCCCATGGGATTTACAGTCCCTGAAAACCTACCCCAGGGTCAGCTATGAGTTGGCTCTGACTCAACAGCCATTAACAAGAACAACATATAAATCTATGAATAGTATTCAAGATTGTTAGTTATCATGGTGAAGGATATGCTTTGTCTTTTCCACACTTTTGTACCTCATTTCTAGACTAGCACATCTTTGCATGTGTCAAGCTATTGACTAGATTTGGGGGTACAAGTGCAATTTTAGCTCCAAATATAGTTCTTTGCCCCTGTGTAAATTAATGGCATTAACTCAGCAGAATCTATAGACAAGTAGAAACTCGTTTTGGTCTTGTTACACTTCTCTCCCCTCTACCAAACTGTTATATTGCCTAGCATTCTAGTTTTCCATTAAGGAGAGGCTGTTGACATTATTTTTATATCCAAGAAATCTGTTCTAGCCTAAAGAACAAAATATATGTAAAATGATTACCTTAAATTACCAGTATGTTTTATATAACTTCATAATTCTACGACTACCTGTTTCCCGCATGTTAGAAGGGCACTCCACCTACCCCCTGAAGGTGTCTATGCAGCGGAGTCGGGATGGGGGTACAGATGGGCTCCATGCTTCAGGTTGGGGGTCACCGGTGAGAGGGTCTGCCCTGCTTGGAGATCCTAGTTCCTACAGAGAAAAAAGAAAGCACAATTCAAAACCTTAAGAAGTAAATTTCATTCTTCAATTTTTCAGGGAAGAAGTTAATGAGGTGGAAAGCTAAAGGTAGTTTTTTTGAGCAATATGTTCATTTACTTTTGTAAAGCTCCTGGATGGAAGTCTGGTTTCTTTATGTGCTTTTCATGCCTTTTGCTGAGCTTGCCAGGGACAATGCTGCTAACATGGCCATAAAGAATATGGTCCACAGATGCAACCAGTAAAAGTGGAAGCCAATGTGCACGTAAATGAGAGTTTGTTAGTACAGACTCACTGACGTGTTTAATCAGAGTAGTATGTCATCCACTTTAAAATTTCCTATTGATGCCTCTTAGTCGTTTGTTGTAATATTGATACTCTCCACTTAACCCGATTGTTTCAACATTGTTAATTTGCAGGGTTAAAAATATCACCATATTGTAATGCAGCCCATGAAAGTAGAATCCTTGAAAGAAACTGAGGAAACAGCTGCTTTTACTATGAACACAAGATCCCGTGTCACAGGACCTGAAGAACTGAATGGAATCCAGCTACCATTACTGAATGGTGGGTTTGGGGTTTTTTTCCCCAAGGATTCAACAAAACAATCTTGATCAAAAGGGTGAAAAATGTGGAACACAATTTCAAATTTGGAAGGAGGAGTGGCATCCACTTCCGTAATAGCTTGCCTCCAGAAACCCTATGAACCTGGAGAGAGGATGAGAGACACCCAGCGTTGAGGACTCTCCTTCATAGGGTCACTATGAGTCGCCTGCGATTCCACGGCACTTAACAACAACAACAACAATTTCAAATACTCATGGCATCTAGACTTTCTGAAAACTTAGGGGCTAGATACACTCCTAAAACTATTATCCTAAAATAATCTTTAAACCCTGAACAACAAAACAGTCCATGAAATCTTCCTAAAACTAAGCAATAAACTAGTTTGACTGAATTATTCAGTAAAGAAGTCAGTTTTGAGGGCTGTGCTATTTTCTGAAAAAATGATAAGATCCTCCTTTTCAAAACATAATGGTACTAAAAACTGCAAGTGATACTGGGTTGGTCCTTGTGTGGTCTACAGTGATTTGGAGATGGCAAAACTGAGGCACCAGGAATTTGAGAGAGCATTAATTTAAAAAGTTAGGAGCAGCTACTGTGCCAAGTTCAAAGGGCCCAAGTCAAACTCTAGGCAGGTTCATGAATGTGTGGTAGCTGTGGGCATTCCAGTCTAGGGAAAGGATAGAAAATTATTTCAGAAGACAACTGAGCAAAAGAGAACCTGGCACCAGAAACATGTGGTGGGAAAAGTCAGGAGGTAAAGGGTAAGAATCTCCCCCTCACTACCTTCGGTAAGGTGGGTGGCTCCAGAAAGACAGCAAAGTAAACAGCAGCCACTTGGATTGCATAGGCAGAGGGCAGACCACTTTAAGGTCAATAATCTGGCATTGCAAATGGGCTGAATACTGGAAACAAGAATGGAGACGAATTGTTCCAATTTCCTTGCAGGCTGTTTTGTGGCCTCTAGTACTTCCAGGCTTTCATTACTCATGACTTCGTTAGTGATCAGGGAGAAGCCAAAGACAGGAAGTCTGCCGTGCCATTCAACTATTAACTTCTGATACTATGCTCACGCCAAGAGCATCTGCCCTCAGCCTCTGATGCACTCAAGACTCTGCCACAGTCTCAAAGTTGGGGCCCACCAACATCACATAGGTGTCTCTCTGCAGTTCTCATTGTTCCCCTATTTATTTGTAGGAATTGTGAGCCATCTGCCTCATATCTTTGTCATAAGCCTTAGACATGAGGAAAATACCAAACTCCAAATCTGTCCTCATTGGGTCCTCTGAGAGGATTCTGACCAGAGAAACCAGGCAAGTGTATATGCTCATGGATCAGTATGATATCGTCAACCTCAAATATGGGATTGAGCTTTCCAGCTGTTTGGGTGACCAATAGGGTGTCCGCACTCAGAAGCCAGAACGTTTACTGAGAATGTAACCTTCGGGAGTGAGTAGCCTTCACACAAGTGGAATCTGTTCTGCATCACCTCATAGGCTTTCTCAATCCAAACAACAGTCAGCCAACATTACCTGGAATTGTCTGTCCTTCAGGAAAAGTCACTTATCTCACTATAGGCAAAGGTCTGGGCCTGAGTGATTCTCTCAGTCACACTTCATAACACAGAACCACAAAACAAAGCCAACTGAGGTCAACGCCGGTAAGAGACACTAGCCATCCTGCTGTGTTCTGGTAATCTTCATATGTGACTTTGTTCTCCACGGTACTGCCAACATGCAGCAACGAATCTGCCCTTCTCCTCTCCAGTCCACTGAGCTCCGCTGAGTTGCTCTCACCAAGTGAGGCAGACACAGAACTGAAGTTTATGCTTTTAAAGACTGGGGTCAAACTGACAACAGCCACTCAGATGGCAAGACAGGAAGCTTAGGAGGCACAGAGTTTTAATGGTGGAAAAACAATCCAGAAAAGGAAGGTGAGTTTGGTTGCACACCTTCAAGAATGTGCAAATGTGTAAAACAATGTCTCTGAATTGTACAAGTACAAACTCTTGAATTTGCATGTTTGGCTGTATATATTTTCAACAACAACAAAAAAAGGAAATAAAATTCTTTTTAAAAAGAACACAGAATACATGATGTAGTCTTCCACAATATAAACATGATTCATTAAACCAGCTAATAAAAATGATCAAATGTCAGAGAATTGCAAATTTCACTAAGACTTACACATTGCATTTTAATAACTCACAGAATTGATGAGGCGATCAGTTTCCCGTGAATTTATTGCTTTTGAAATCCAATTATTAAAGTCATCCAAACTGTAAATAAAGAAGCTCAGTTAATTTATTTTGTAAGAATTTTCAAAATGACTGGCTACATCATATTGAAATAAATCCATTTAAAATTCATATTCTATACAAGCTCAAGGTCTAAGTATTAAGATTTTTTTTCCAAAACAAAAATAGAAGTCAAACTTTATAGGAATAATAGTTATAACTTAGTGACTCTTGAGGCAATATCCTCATTAGTAACCACACATGCAATGTATGTATCATGAATTTCTTCTTTTTTTCACTGCCTTGCACCTAAACTGCCATTCTAGTTTATATAGTATTGATAATTTCATCACCATATTTTTAAAAAATTCCAAACATTTAAATCAAGACATCTGAAGAATGATGAAAAGAAGATCAGGTACTAGAAAAACAAACCAAAAGCACTTAATTCTCTTAGATTTGCTTGATTCCTTAGTGAAGAAGAGAAAGATGCTTTACTCTATTTGTGGAGATTATCTTCTAGTTCAGTCTAACTGAACTTCCCTGGACTTTCATGAGTGTGCTAGAAAGTAAAGTGATAAAAAGCAAGGATGTCGGTGTAAAGAGTAAGGTATTCCTGGCCCTAAGTCTGGTATTTTCTACTGCTTCACATGCATGTGAAAGTTCTGATGATAAATAAAGAAGCCCAAAGAACTGATGCCTTTTTTTTTTTGAACTGATGCCTTTTAATTGTAGTCTGTTGAAGAATAAAAAACATATGAACTTCCCAAAACACATACAAATATGTCAGCTTGAGTGGAGTACTCCTCAGAATAAAAAAAATTCTGAGACTATGTCTCAGATACTCTGGGAATGCTTTTAAGGAGGGGCCAGTTCTTAGAAAAAGGACATCATGCTTAGAAAGGTACAGGGTTAGCAAAAAAGAGGAAAATCCTTCAATGAGATGGACTGACACAGTGACAACAATGGGCTTATGCACAGCAGAGATAGTGAGAATGGGGTTTTGATTTATTTTACAGTTGAGTTCACTCTGTGACAATGAACAGCAACAGGGAACAAGGGATTCTGGCTTTGACACTAAAGGTATTCTGCCCATAGGCTTAAAAAGGGAAACATATGCAAGGAGTTTTAATTCCACAACAGGGTAGGGTTGAGTTTCTTTCCCTAAGTGCTTGATGACAGTTATTAGTTTCAAAAAGTGATGGAACAAGACACTCACAGTAAAAGCACCCCAATAAACTTTAAAATCATGTTATCAAAGTAATTTATCTTTTCACATTATCAAAAGAAGACATTACCTTAATTCAAAGAAATTAAACTCCTCTGCTAGAATTACTCTTTGTCCTTAGAAAGTAATTAGGTTAAATGTCTCCTTTAAGCAGCAAGCAGGTTTTATATTCTGTACATACATGGCCAGGTATCTCCTGCTTGGGATGAAACTAATTCTAGAAGGCACAAAGGTAAGAGTGAGAGTACATAAACTTCCCAGGCTTCAGGGTTTCTCCAAGCCAGCTGACTGAAAGGCTAGATTTTTATTGTTGTTTTACAGTTGAGGCACAATTCACCAATAAAATCTTGTCCTTCTTCCTGAGACTCCAACATGGAGCACATGAAAATTCAAATAATTCAAATAATCTGACTATTTTTAAAACATGGAAAAATTTTCCTTTGAATGGTGACAAAAACTGGATCTATTTTACCTCCTTTTTTCGCTTTTTTGATCTGCTGATTCATCTCTCAGCAGCCCCCAGCAGGTGGACCAGAGGGAACTCAAGGGTTAGAACCAGAGAAGAGCAAGAGAGTCCAAGGCAAGCTTCCTCCTCACTGATCACATTCCCCTTCCACTAGGCACAAAGCAGAGATGTGAGGAGGGGTTGTTGGATTTTTTTTCCCTCTTCAAGAAAAAATTATTTCTGAAGTATTTTCTCCTACCTTTTCAGTCATGCAATAGGACTGAAGGTCAGTGGCTCAAACCCACCAGCCATTCCACAGGAAAAAGATACTATGTTTCTTCATAGAAACTTATAACCTGGGAAATATGTAAGGTAGTTACACTCCATCCTGTGGGGTTACTGTGAGTCTGAATGGATTCTAAGGCAGTGGATTTTGAGTTTAGGGGAGGACTGAAAACATTAGAACTAAGTTATTAATACCCTGAAGCCAGGGTCATGTCTAATCAGACATGGAATCTCACCTAGACTGGGCTGAGCATATTCTATGTCTGCTTTCCCTGACGCATCCTTCCTTAACCTCAGCTTACCTCAGTAAGAGCCGCAGAAGGGATACTGCAATGACGAGGGCTAGACCAATAAGGAAGGCGATAGTCACCGCTAGAAAAAGAAGAGGGGAAAAGTCACCAAAAATGTCATCATTAAAGCTGTTCCTCCACTCTATTTAATAAAGCTCTACATTACGCTAAATTGTGCTAAATTTCCTATATAACAACTTACAATGCTCTCCATGAGTGGAGCACTAATTTCCACTATGAAAAATAGACAACAAGCACAAGACTAGTATATTATTGTATAATAAACCTGTATACACCCATCAGTTAGACTCTAGAATTATCAAGATTTTGTCACTCTTGCTTCATTTTTGGCTGACACATTTTAAAGCAAGTCCCAAGTACCATGTCATTCGACCCTTACATAGATCTCTAAAGCACATGGAACCTGTAAAATTATCACTGTATTCTTCCTGAAATGATGCACTATGAAAGACACAACATCACTCCTGCAGGATTCAAACCAACATGCATAGCCTCTATCTACATACTAGAAAACATCAGGCAAGTTAAAATTGAGGGACAGTCTATGCTCTTCAATAATTAAAAGAACAGATGTCTTAGAGAAAGCATAGCCAGAGTTCTCCTTGAAGGCAAAAATGGCAAAGCTTCATCTCCCGTACACTCGGTATGTTGCTAGGAGAGGCTATTCCTTGGAGAGGGACATCACGTTTGGAAAAGTGGTGGGACTGTGAAAGAGAGGAGGACCCTCTGTGAGATGAACTGACACAGTGACTATAGAAATGGGCTCAAGTGGCTCAGAGATGATAAGAATGGCACAGGATACAGTAAGAGGTCAGCTCTGTTGTTCATAGGATCACAGTAAGTTGTATTTGACTCAATGGCACCTAATAACATCGTATTATGTGTATATATTTAGAGGTTCAGGAGTAAAAGGTATATGACAACTCTTTCTTTTATAAGTTCTCTGTAAATTCAAATAGCTTAGAAAATTATTCTAAATAAAAAGGTTATTTTCTATGATATTTTTATTTTAAAATAGACTTCTGCTATATAATCACAGTGTCACACAAAATTAGTCATTACCTGACAAGTGTTTTGAGTTCATATTAAAATTGTTTTGAAATATAAAAAAAAAATAAAAATTATGTCTGAATTTGGGGCCAAATTAAGCTCCAAAAGTCAAGTTTACACTTTGCATTTGTTTGTTTCTATGACTTATTTGGCCCTTTTCCATGCCATATACTTGTTGAAAGCACCATGTCATCTGTCCTATACTCATGTCTCATACTCTAGATTTGTCTATATATACTTTTCCCCCCTCCTCCTATATATACTTCTTTATGACATCATGTAACTCGTTCTCCTATCCTCCATATCTATAAATGGAACACCAACTCCAAAGTCTTGACTAAATTCAAGTTCAACATTTTAGAAGACATCAAACATGGGCTGATGGATGTGTTCCGCTAACGAAGGCCTGCTCCTTCCATTGTTGTTTTCCCATTATGTTATGGTTTGAACCACTTAGGGTTTTTATCCTCACATCAACGAGTAGTATTTGCTTGTCATGAACTAAAGTTAAACCAGAAAAAGCAGAATGCTTTTGGGAGATATTTACACTAAAATTTTTCTTTTAAAATGTACCATTTTAAACCACCACGATTAACAATACACTCGACCACATCAATGTTTCTGGGTCATTTTTCATCCTGTTATGTATAATGTCTCTGTGAATCAGGACAGACTCAGTAGCAACTATCTGTAGCTAACATCAGCTGCCCTTACTGCCTCCAAAGGTGACCCAGGGTTGTTTTTGTTGTGGGCAAGAGAAGCTCTCTATTTCTGCCACTTCAGATTTCTTAACAAACTTTTTTTTTTGGTTGTTTTGTATATTCATGTTTCTGTAAATTATACCCACTATTCTGCTGATGCTTAAAAGTATCCCACTTCTTCTTGGTCTCTTCATACTGGCTCTTCTATTCTTTTTCCTCTCTCTCACTTTAATATACTTTTTGTAAATGTTTTATTATATTGGATTATGGGAATTAGGGAAATGAAGGATTCATATTTTATTTTCCTAAAGTAATATTTTTAGAATCACAAATTATATTGAAAGTTTTTTGCCAGGAAAATAAAAACAAAGATCAAAAGAACGAAATAGTATTTACATACATCTCTACAGAGATCTGTATGTATATTAGCAAAGTGAAACATAGCAAATATACACCAAAACCTCCCCATAAAAGAGATGCAAATTATATTTTTGACACATTTTCAGCACAATCACACAATACAATTTTCTTTTATAGACAGAGACAATAAATAGTGCAAACGTATATTTATGGGATATTTGACAAATGCATTTGCTTTGAGTCAAAGGGAAAAGTTTCCGTCGGTTCACCATTGAAATGTTCCTTGTCTAACTTGTCTAAATTGCCCTTTTTTCTTCTGGATTTCTCACTATGACTAAGTCTAAGGTCGGAAATACCTTTCGTCTCAGAGCCTGGAGCATGCTTAGCATAAGAATTTAGAAAGTAAGTAAAAAATCAAGATGCCATGATATGTGTGTGTTTATATCGCCTCTAAGACCGCATGCTCTTCAGAATAAAGACAGTCTATTCTCTGTTAATCTCCCAGCCTCCAGAAGAGTGGGGGCATCATTATGTGGACTACATGCGCCCCCATGTGGAGAATAATTAGACTGCATTTGTTACTATTTCACCAGCATGGCAGAGCAGTCTACCAGGAACCAGACATTTCTTACATAATATCTAGCCATCTTCTGAAACCATTCTACTCATAGTGGCTCCTGTATTCTTGTGATAAGGTCCCATCATATTCAGCTTCCTTGTGAACGATATTTATTAATGACACAAGAATTCACTACTCTGGAGTATCAATGTAAGAAGGAAGCACTGTACCCTAATGCTGAAACAAAGAAAGATATCTGATAATCACCTGCCCTAGCTTCACTCCCATAGGGTCGTTATGAGTTGCAAGCGACTTGACGGCACATAACAACAACAACAACAGCTTCACTCCACTGTCTTTATTTGTTTTTGTTTCATAACTAAACTAAATAAGAACTATGATAATAGGTTGGTATATCATGTAATTTTCTTGGCACCCACCAATGAAGCAAGAAATATAATTATGGCATAATTATATAGGGTAGATAGCCTGTAATTCAAGTTTTAAATTATGTCATGAATTGCTGTGCTTTACAAAACAGCACCTAAAGAAACCGAAAACATTAGAAGAGTTTAAAAAAAATCAACAATGTATTACGTACGCAAGTTACTGTCGACTGGATTCTTATTGACAGCCAGGTCACAAGCAATTTCACTGACTCCATTACTGGGGTGTTTTACCAAGAGAGAATAGTTTCCAAATTCTCCAAATTTGTATTCCAGCCTAGATAAAATAAGTAACATTTAGTGACATGAGGGCAGAGTGCTAAGCATTCCTAGTGCAGACCGGGAAGGAAACAGAAAATTATTTTAGAGAGTGGGACAGTTAAAAAAACAAATAACTTAAAATCTAAACTAAATAGAAAATCACGTAGGAAAAGTGGAAAAAGTCAAGAGAAAATGCAGACTTCAACTATAACGATATCAAAGCAAATACAAACCTACAAACTTCTCTCTCCTCCAAGGTATCATTCAGCTGCAGGATGGAGCCACGCTGGGAGCTCACTGCCACAGCAGCAATGCTGGGCTTCCCGGCTTTCCCACTCCTTGAAACATTTACCAAAGCCTGATACAAGCACTATGTAAATGAAAAACACAGAAGGTAAGCTCTCGTAGGCAAGGCTATGGGCATTCTACTGAAGACCCTGAGCTGGCTTTTCCTTCATACTCAGCAAACAACCTTAACTTTTACCAAAGCAGATAAATTTACCCATAGTTTTATATTGAAACCTACTACAGGATCAGTGTTTTTGTTAACCATTCACAGATTTTTTAAAAATAATCTAATTTTGCTATTTACTTGCCATAAACATTATTTCTGTTTTCTGCAATCAATGCTGACCTCACACTGAGGTCTTAACCATTACTGCAACTTGCACCCCTTTGAATGTTTCTCTCTCCTGTAACTTATTTTTGCTTAAAGATTTTTAAAAGATCATTATATTCAAAAGTTAAGACAATTTGCATTGAGACATCATTTCCAACTATAACCTTTAAAAAGGGTCATAAACGCCTTTCCAATTTTCATACTAACATGTTTACAATTATTGAGCAGTTTCTATTATTATGCTTGAATATAATACCTATACACATTTTCCTCACACAAAATCCTCTCCATGTTTCTATATAAACTGTCAATTTTTTTAAACTAGTGTCAACTAGCTAAGTGATTCTTCTCTGGTCAAAATCTAACATTTACTCAATGTTTTTACCCACTGTTTCTATTTATTTTTTTTTTATTCTAATCCTTTTACTTGAATTATGCCAACATTCAGACACGGACTCTTTTTTTTATGTTTATCCTTTATTAGTTTTTCAGACCTTTCTTATTTCTTTGAGAAACATTTTACCCATTCTCTAAGTTGTGTATGAATTTTATAACTTTTTAATTTCAGCTAAAGATCCCCCCCCCCCCGAGTTCTTCTAAGTCCCTATAAACTGTTGCCTTTTTCCTTGGGGCACTTGTTAAAATATACTATATTTTCTTTGTTTAGTTTCCTTTTCTAAAGCTTTTCGTATGTTTAATCAAACTGCAGATGTGTTATTCATCTTCACAGTTATTTCAGCTGGTATTCACAGTGGGGCAAGGAGGTTGTTTGTTTTAAAGGTACTTGCTCAAAAGAACTATGAGATATCATCTCACCCCAGGAAGAATAGGAAAATTTAACAGAACAGTAAACATCAAATGCTGGCGAGGACTACTAGGAATATGCCCCAAAGAAACCATAACTGCCACCCAAGCAGATATATGCACACCCATGTTTATCTCGACTTTGTTCACAGTTGGAGACAACCTAAGTGCACATCAACAAACGAATGGATAGAGAAGCTGTGGTCTATTCATACAATGGAATACTATGCTGCATTGAAAAACAAGGAACTCTTCTACAACCAGGAGAAGATAAAATAGATAAATGGGACCTTCTAAGAATCAAATCCCTATGCACATCCAAAGCCACAGACTGGGAAAAAGTGTTTGGTAATGACATGTCAGATAAGGAATTTATAAAATTTATAAAATACTTGAGCACCACAATAAGATAAAGGTAAACAATCCAATTGAAAAATGGGCACAGAATACAGACACTTCACCAAAGAAGACATTCAGATGGCCAACAAGCACATGAAGAAATGTTCAAAATCCCTAGCTCTAAGAGAGATGCAAATCATAACAACTATGAGATAACATCTCACTCCAGTAAGAACAGCAAAATTTAACAGAACAGTAAGCAACAAATGTGTGTAAGGTTGTGGAGAAACTGGAACGCTTAATCACTGTTGGTGGATGTATAAAATGGTGCAACCACTGTGGAAGGCAGTGTAGTGTTTTTTCAAAAAGTTGCAAATAGAGATACCATTTGATCCAGCCATTCCATTACTGGGAATATACCCCGAAGAGACCATAATTGCCACCCAAGCTGCAGCTTTGTTCACAATAGCAAGGAGTTGGAAACAACCTAAATGCCCATCAACAAACAAATGGTTAGAGAAGCTGTGGTATATTCACTCAATGGAATACTATACTGCATTGAAAAATAAGGAACTCATGCAATAATATTCAAAATGGGTGACCCTGGAAGCCATTATGCTGAGTGAAATATCTCAGTCACAAAAGGAAAAATACTGCATGGTGCCACTGTTGTAAAACAGGACTGGCATCGGGGTTGGGGGGAGACTGAGAAGGAAGGGATAATTAATGTATACTGCATTGAAACAGATGAGGGAGAAAACTGTTTAAAAGGGCTATGTGATTAGGTATTATTGTCATGACAGGAGTCTAGAACGAAGGCTGTATAGTGGAGTGGACCTGCGGTGGGAGGGATTGTAAAACAATGAAAGAATTTTTCTTTTTCTTTTCAAAGAGAAGAGTGAACTGGGCAGGGGAGGGATGGGCAGGGAGAAAAGTGCAACAATGAATGAATGGAAATCCAAAGTCTCTGTAAACTTTCATTAAAATTAATTTTTTTTTAAAAAAAAGGTACTTGCTGTAAAGAGGTCAGTATACCCTCAGTTCCCCCCTCTGCAAATAGATAAAATAAAGCTACCAATTTGAACAAAAAGAATATTCTCTTTACATGGAAGAACAGTCTTGTCCTTAAAAAAACAACCAAGTTTAAAATAGGAGTAAAGTCCTCAAGCAAATTCGTCCGAGGCAGCTTCAAAGAAAAACTGTCTGCCTCCATCTGTTCCTTCCGTCTGCTTTCACTGCACTTACTCTCAGAAAACAACCTGTTTTCTCATTCCTTCCTCGTCCTGTGCTTTAGTTGCTGGGCAAAGGATTACACAAAGAAGTAAAATGAAACACAAGCTCTCAGTTTTGCCCCTCACCGTGAGTTCATTTAAAAGACGCACAGGGAAAAGAAGAGAAGAAACCAAAGTTGCTCACTGCTAGATGTTTTCTCCTAATTGTACTCCTCTCTCTTTAATAGCCAGCTTGTCCTCACCTGTGAAGCACTGTGAAGGGAGTATTAAGGGAACAGTAAAGGAAGTATTAAAAATCTTACCAAAGTATCCTCGACCAAAAAAACCTGTGAAGCACATAATACTTACATGATAACAACTTTCTGATTTCCAGTAGACAGTCAAGCTTGTCCCGAGGAGTTCATTATGAATGAGCAGCAAAGCCTGATCCATCTTCAGTTCTACATGCTTTTTTTGGTCTAAGTCTAGGAAGAATTAGACAGAAAGTTTTAAAATAATAACAAAGCCCCTGAAAGGCATGGCGCAGTCTCTGTGTAAATCTACTTCCTTGAGAAGCTTTCTTTTCCCTGACCCTCTATTTCTCAAGTATAATGTGAGAGGAAGTCTCACTATCCTTGTCTCTAAAGAGCACAGTACTTGTACTTCCCCCAAGACCGATTTGTTTGTTCATCTGACTATGGTATATTCAATATTCTTCACCAGCATCAATTCAAAAGCATCAATTTTTATTTCATGAAGGAAGATTCTGATGCAGTAGTGCATTCTGAGTGCATTATGCAGATTACACAACTAGCTTGCTGAAAGGGAGGAGGACTTGACACAGATTTAAGACTACAGCCTTCAATATATGGATTGCATCGCAGTATCAAGAAAACAAAAATTCTCATCACCAGACGAATTAGCAACATCATGATAGACTTTGATTAAATAGAGGAGAAAAAACTGAAATTGTCAACAGTTTTGTCTTACTAAGATCCAGCTGAAGTCAGAAAATCAAAAGGGCTGAACTCATTTGGCATTTCTTAACATGAAGGAACTGAAGAACAAATTCAAAGCCTTCAAGTTGCAATATTTTAGGATGCTTTTGGGCAGAATGTTAAATGATCCAGGAACATTAAAAGAAGATGGAAGGAGCATACAGAGTCATTGTATCAAAAGGAATTAGCTGACACAGAAGAATTTCATGAAACAATGTATGAGCAAGAGCCTATGGTGATGAAGGAAGAAGTTCAAGCTGCTCTGAAAGAACTGGCAAAAAACAAGGTCCCAGGAATTGACGACATAGCAATTGATATATTTCAACAAACAGACGCTGCCCTGGATATGCTCACCAAGTTGTGCCAAAAAATCTGGAGGGCAACCATCTGGCAAACTGACTAGAAGAGATCCATATTTGTTACCATTCCAACGAAAGGTGACCCAACAGTATGGAAATTATCGAACAGTATCTTTAATATCACACACAAGATTCTGCTGAAAATTATCCAAAAACAACTGGAACAGCACATCAGCAGAGAACTGCCAAAAATACAGGCTGGGTTTAGAAGAGGCCATGGTACTAGGGATATTATAGCTAATGTCAGATGGATCTTGGCTAAAAGCAGAGTACTAGAGGAATGTCCATCTGTGTTTCATTGACTATGCAAAGTCATTTGACTGTGTGGATCATAAGAAACTGTGGCTGACTCTGAGAAGAACGGGAATCCCAGGACACTTGATTGTGCTTAGGCGAAACCTATACATGGACTAGGAGACAGTCGTCAGAACAGAGCAAGGAAATACCGCTTGGTTCAAAACTGGGATGGGTTTATACCAGGGATGGGTCCTATCTCCATACCTTTTCAAATATGCAGAACAGATCATTTGGGAGGTTGGGCTCTGTGGGGAGGAATATTGCATCAGGGATTGGAGGAAGACTCATCAACAACCTGTGTTATGCAGATGACACAACCCTGCTTGCTGAAACTGAGGAGGACCTGAAGTGCTCGCCGCAGAGAGTCAAGGACTCTCTTCAATATGGATTGAAGCCTTCAATATGGATTGAAGCTCAACATCAAGAAAGCAAGATTCTCACCACTGGGCCAACTGTCAGCATCATGATAGATGGAGAAGAGATTGAGATTGTTAACAGCTTCAGTTTGCTTGGCTCCATCATCAACACTTTTGGTAGCAGCCAGGAAATTACTGGGAAAGTTGGCTGTCAGGGACTTCTCCAGAGTACTAAAGGGCAACAATGTCAGTCTGGAGATTAAGGTACATCTGACCGGGCCATGGTCTTCACAATTTATTACTATGCTTCAGAAAGCAAGACAATGACTAGGGATGATAGAGGGAGAATTGATGCCTTTAAGCTTTGGTGCTGGAGAAGAGTATTGAATATACCATGGACTGCTAGGAAAACAAACAGGTTCATCCTGTTGTTGTTGTTATGTGCCGTCAAGTCGCTTGAGACTCATAGCGACCCTATGTACAACAGCCCTAAACTCCGCTCTGTCCTGTGCCAATTGCACTGTCTCTGACACTCCCATCCCAATTATCCCAGTCACTGAATCAATCCACCTCATAGAGGGCCTTCCTCTCCTGCGCCGTCCCTCCACCCTCCTAAGCATGATGTCCCTCTCTAAGGACCGGTCTCTCCTCACAACATGTCCAAAGTATGTTAGACGGAGCCTCAGAATCCTTGCCTCCAAGGGGCCACCCGGTTTAACCCTTTCCAGGATAAATCTGTTTGTTTTCCTAGCAGTCCATGGTATTCTCAGTACTCTTCTCCAGCACCGCAGCTCAAAGGCATCAGTTCTCCTTCTATCCTCCTTGGTCATTGTCCAACTCTCTGATGCAACAGGTGATTGCGAAGACCATAGCCTGTATCAGACGCACCTTAGTCTCCAGAGAGACACCACTGCTCTTCAGCACTTTGGAGAGGTCCCTAACAGCAGACTTTCCCATGGCAATGCGCCTTTTAATTTCCTGGCTGCTGGTGCCAAGACTGTTGACTATGGAGCCAAGCAAACTAAAGCTGTGTACAATCTCAATCTCTTCACCATCCATCCTGAGGTTCATCCTAGAGAGGGTAAAATCAAGCTGCTTCTTGAAGGCAACGATTCTGAAACTTCGTCTGAGATACTCTGGCCATGTTGCAAGAAGGGACCAGTCCCTGGAGAGAGGCATCATGTTTGGGAGGGTGGAGGGACAGAGAGGAAGACCCTTGATGAGATGGATTGACCCAGTGACTGGGGTAATTGGGGTAGGTCTGTCAGAGACAATAAGATTGGCTCAGGATGGAGCTGTTGTGCATAGGGTCACTATGAGTCATAAGTGACTCTAGGGCACATAACAACAACAACAAGATCCACAATCAGCACCTTTGAAGTCAGCAATCAAGAAATCAAAAGAAACGGAAAAGTCTCCTGTCAAAGACCTCTCCAAAGTACTGAGGACCAATAATATCAGTTTAAAGACTAAAGTATGCCTAATTCATGTCCTTTTCAATTATTTGCTATGCCTCTGACTGGACAATGAACAAGGAGGACAGAAGAGGAATCAACAAGCTGTGCTGTTGGAGAAGAGTACTGAATATTCTATGGACTGCCAAAAGGACAAACAGATTATTTTCTTAGAAAAAGTAAAGCCAAAGAGGCCTTGGGGGTAAAGATGGCAAAGCTTTGTCTCACGTACTTTGGGCATGATGTTAGGAGAAGCCAGTCCTTAAAGTGGACATCATGCTTGGGAAGGTGAAAGTTCAGTGCGGGAGAGGAAGACTCTCAACCAGATGGCCTGACACAATCCCTTTAACAAGGAACTCAAGTGTATCAGAGATGATGAGGATGGCACAAATAGGACAGGGTTCAGATCTGTTGTTCATAAAGTGGCTAAGAGTTGTACTTAGAAGAACAAACACAAGAAGCCCTCTTTTAGATAAGAGGATTACAGAAAAAGACTGTCAATAATTCTCCCCTAGGAATTGCTAGTGGATTCAAACTACAAACCTTCCAGTTATCAGCCTGATATTCCATCACTAGGGTTCCTGGGGCCTCACACGTCAGGCCAATTATCAGAATAGTCTCTGCACACCCAGCAAGTTTTTAAATCACCCACATGATTTTAGCATGAAGTCATGGTTGGGGACCACAAATTATAATAAACTGTGATTATAAAGATTTTTACATCCTTCTTTACCGCCCCCCCCCCACTGTATGATCTTATTTTCTAAAATAATTAGTCTGTCTTGCATTAAAAAAACTAGTCTGCAGGACTAACAGTCCATATAAACTAAGCCTCTTCTAACCTGGGACAGAACTAGATGGTGACTATTTACCACAACTGGCCTAGTGGCAAAGAGCTATACTACCAACTCAAAGGCACATGGTTCGAATCCACCCGTTGCTCAGCAGAAAAAGACGGGCAATCTCCTCCCATGTGATTTAATGTTTCTGAAACTTGAGGGAGAGCCACTTACAGGTCAGTTCCGACTCCATGTTACATAACAACTAACAACATGGCATCAGTCAAGATTTATATAGTATTATACCACATGTAGTAATAAATATGAACCTGATTAGCTGTGTGACTGGGCTGATCATGCCAGCAGGCTGGGTCTATTTTCTTCATCACAAAAGGGGTGTGTGAACTACATTAGGGTTGGGTAAGAGGTATATTTAAAAAAAGTTATTTAAATCTGTTACATCTCTCTGCCTTATAAGATGAGGCAAGAAGAGCTCTGATCTACACAGAGAGACACTAAATCCCCATATACTGATGGGATGTGTTGGAAGAGTCTGGGCAGCTCACTTTTCTAAGTGACAGACCCTCCTCCAAACAATGGAGGCTTTGACTTTTGACTGACTACCATTCCTGATCAAAGAATCCCCAGGAGGGACTTGTGAAAATTATTGTCTTGGGACTTGGAGAATTTTGTTCCCAGGCTATGAAGGAGGCCCTGGAATTATTATTTTTGACGATTTCTCCTGCTGAGTCCACAGGCACGTGAAAGGAAGAGCAAAGTCCCTTTCTGACTTGACTACATGAGGCTTTTAAAAGTACCAATGCCCAGCCTGGCTCGGCCTCTCTCAATCTTCAGAGTCTAGCATCACCTAGAGGTGTAACTTCTCTGCGAAACAGCAGGGCGCCTGAAAAGCATCTCCTCGTTGTTATTCCCAGTATCTCTCAAGTAAAATCTGCCTAAGTGGGGGAAATCCAAACCCCTACTCTCACAATCAAAGCACACTAGAGCTGCTAACTGACCAGTCGGAACCCCTGCAGTGAGAAAGATGTGAGGTTCAGCTCCCATAAAGAGTACTCTGAAACTCTCTGGGGCTGTTCAGCTCGTGCTCCAAAGATCAGTGAGTCAGTGCTGACTCCACAGCAGGTTTGGTTTGGGGGGTTTTACTTTTCCAACATTAGCCTAATGGCAAAAAGCTGCGCTGCAATCCCGAAGGCACGTGGTTCGAATTCACTAGCCGCTCCACGCGAGAAAGGTGGGCAACCTGCTCCTATGTGATTAAATACTTCTGAAAACCCGCTGGAGGGTCAGGGTCAGCTGTGGGTCAGTTCCGACTCTATGGTCCACAACAACAACTTTTGCAATTAAAAGTCTCTTGCAGCCTTCTGAGCTTTATTTACAACTCTCAGAAAATTCATTCCCGGGTGTTTTAATACATGCCCAGACGGGGCGATTTGTTCTCCATGCATAGTTTGGCCAAGGCTACATCTGAAGATCAGAACTCAAGTGAGTTGCTCAGCGGCAGGTCTCAGCGCTATTGCACCTCCCCTTAGGCTTTCTCACCCTGCAAGATTCCCAAATGACCTTATTCCATCTGAGTCTGGGCATCATCATTTTTGCAACTGCTTAAAGTCCACACAAAAAATACAGAAAGAATGTTGTATAAGTCACTTTCTTTGCCAGTACGTCTCTTATTTAGCGTTGCATTTCTGGGGAAACAAAGGTCTTTAAACCAAAGGCATTTTACTATTTTGATGAAAGATTCCTAAAATTCCGCTAGGATGCCCCAAAGGCTCTACGTGCGGGTAGGGTGGCCAGGCGCGGAGGGCTGCTGGGCACACACTGCCCTCCGAGGCTGCGCGCGGGCCAGTGCGTCCTCACCCCGCTCCCGGCCATCGCCCGCGCCACAGGCTGGGTCCAAAACTAGCGCGACCCGTGCCACTCATATTTTAGTGGGTTCTGTTTGTAGGCTGCGGTCGGGCTCCTCTAATTCCACTAACGTCCAGGCCCTAGGATGCTGATAATAATACGCATTGCCCGCAAAAGCGGCCCGATCTGTCCCAAATAGGAAAATTCCCGGCCTGGGTGGAGTACATAAAATTGTAAACAAAAAGAAATCTAGTTCCGGAAACCCCTTTTTCAAAGGATACGCTCTGAGTCCCGGGCGGGAGCCGGGCGGCGCCAGCCCCCGGGGGCAGGGA